CCTATAAAATGCAGCATACCGCATAATCACAATGCAAATTATTGAACATATTAAATTATATAATTTATCTTTAAATTATACATAAATTATTCAAAGTTATATATTACACTCTATAACAAAAAAAAAATCGATGCAACAAAAGGAATCTTCCTATTGCTTTGAAATTTCGTATGCATAAATGTGTTAACCAAATATGCAAATGAAATAAAATTTGGTTGCCAATGAATGAATCGTGCAATCTCCAGTGCATCGTAATTGCGCATCCTGCAGCTGAAGAGCATGCCGCATATAAGGAGCTGTTTTTTAACTGTTGTTGAAGATTTCTGTTGCATTGCGATTTAGGATACCATTCAAGGACTGAAGAAATGTCTCGCCGCAGGATTCGAGCTCATTACCAGCAAATGTAAGAGTTTGAAAGAGGTCGGTATCATTGAATTGAAAGAGGCAGGTTGGACAAATTGGAGAATCGCTTGTCATATGAGTCGAAGCAATGCGGCGATTAGAAGATGCTCGCAAGAATGGGTGGACAATGACATATTTCTGCGTCATGATCGATCTAAGGCCACAACAGATCTGGAGGAGTGATCTGTTGTGAATCACTTTGTTACGATGCGATCTGTTGATCTGGAGGAGTGATCTGTGACAGCTGATCTCAGTGATTGTCAGATCAGCTGTCACAGCTCCTGGTTCATCGCTATAAACCATCAGACGTGCAAATTGCAAACAAGTGTCCACCATAACCATTCACAAACGGCTGATGGAGCGAAATCTTCTCTCATACCGACCGTTAAGCTACCTGCCACTCACGTCTGTACACGGTTGAGCCAGATTACAGTTTTGCTTGGCTCGATCAGGTTGGAATGATGCTGACTGGGGAAGTATAGTCTTTAGCGACGAATTCCGCTTCCGTCGTAACGATCATCGAAAAATTGTCCGGAGGCGCCCAGAGTAGCGTTCCGATCCTGCTTTCACTATTGCACGCCACACAGGCCATGAACCAGGAGTTATAGTCTAGCGTGTCATTTCCCTTATAGCCAGGCTTCTTTGGTTGTCATTAGAAGCACACTTACATCACAGCGGTAGGTCGACGACATTCTGAGAGCTGTTTTGCTGACGTTCCTTTTGCAGTACCCTGGTCTTATTTTTTAGCAACATAATGCCAGACCACATACGGCACGTGTTGGTATGAACTGTTTTACACCTTGTCAATCATATCCTTAGCCAGCCAGATCTCTCTCCCATCGAGCATGTCTGGGATATAATGGGAAGGAGACTGCACCTACCAGGAAAAAAGCTACAGTTGCTATGCCAAGAATATTCGAAATAGAATAGAAGAAAAAAAAGGTATGTTTCTTAACTGTACAACCTTTAGGTATTCGTTAAGTTGAAAACACGTGTTAAGGATTCTGAAAGCAATCTTTGAACTTAATATATAGCATAGATGTAACATTACTGTTGCTTATTAACTAAGATCTATATCTATTTTCAGAGAAAACGTAAAACTTCAGTTAAAGTATATGGCAATAATTATTAACAAGAATGTTTTAACGTATAAAATGATGGAAGTTAATTAACATTAGAAGTTAATTTTTCAAATCTTTGTGGTTAAATTATTTCTACAATTAATAAATCGTATTCAGAATATTTTTCTTTGTGACATTACATAACATATCACTCAAAGCGGAAACTATGACAATTAGAAAAACTGTTGTCGATGAATCCATTGCGATAATATTTTAATCCTTTGCATATAAATGAAAACCCGACTTCTAAAATGTTTATATTACTATTTGCATTGATAATTTCCAATTATATAGACTTTCTTAATGTTAGGTATGTTACTGTTGACTCTGGCTCTTTGATCCTCCCTCCCTCAATTTGCCGCCTGGAAAGAGTGGTCTTAAGAATCTTTTGTCCAGTAAGCATAATGATACAAATTTCAATAGTCATTGTACGAAAACATGCAACGTTATCTCGAAATCCGTTGAGAACTTATCACTACTCATAAAATAATACAATCATGACATAAATCACACCGAGATGTTCATCAATGAGTTGAATGCAAATTTAGAAAATCTAATTATCATACGTTTTTGAAAGTATAAGAAGATATATTATACGTAGAGTTTTCTCCTAGGCGCTGCAAATAGAAATTTGCATTAACATATGGACTAATGAATCGCACATGATATTAATATTTAACACTTTTTAACATCTTCAGTATTGGCTTTATGATATACGTATTGAATTTTCTTTATAATTATGCATTAGAGATTTTCAGCTATGAATTTACCTTTCCCTTCTATATGCTACAATGTCACTAAATTAAATCATTCAACAAAATTCAATGTATATACCGTATTTACATTAAAATAAAATCTCCTAGAAGGTAAGAGATTCCTTGTATTTTAAGAAAAGTTTTAAGAATTTAAATTGTAGATGATTAGTTATTTTTTCTTGTAGTAATGCTAAAAAGGGTAATTCTGGTTTATTATTTTTACTTCAGAATTTTCTGAAAATAATAATACCATTAGTTGTGGTCCAAGACAGAAGAAAGTTAACGAAAACTTAGTGATACGTTATTTGCTTTCGGGTACATCTGCGTAGCACGAAGGTCTAAATTAAAATTGCTCGACAAATCGTGAGTTTTTAAAACTAAGCGCTAATTATAGATTTATAAGTATGGTGGTTAGCTATGGGGTTTTTATTTATCATTTAATAAGTGTAATTATTCTGTGTAGAATAATGACTAAAGCCCTGCCTCTTGTTCTGCAATTTCATTTATCAAAATATCCGTTTATTAGCCTTTATGAGATTTTTATGAGCTTTTATGAGCAAAACTATCGCAAAAAATAGGGGCTCATCTTTTGAGTAGATAATATTTTCGCACTTCCTTCGAGACAATGAAGTGACTGACTCAATACCTAATACATTAGTAAGAAATAATAATATAAGAAGAAGATGGTGTTGTATTACCACAGAGAATAAAAGTAAGTTTTATTTAAAAGTATTTAGTTTTTAAGTGTAAATAAACTAAATGATATGGAAATAAATCTCAGTTATGGATAAGTATGAATAATAAAAAATGAGTGCATTTTAAAATTAATGAATGATATATAATGATAATAATTTTTTATAAAGTCACATTGCTTTGCTTTCCTGTATACATTAATTTAATTTCAATTCGGAAAATTTGTTCTATTTCATTAATACAGTGTTTTTGATTTTTATTTTTCCTTTTCAAAGTTATCATGTTTATATTTACTTCTTTTAGTGATCGAAATTTTATTATTTATTTACTTTCTTGAGTGATAGAGGAATCCAAAGGCAAATACATAATAGTATAAAGAAACTGAGAATAGAAGTAAAAATAAATTATCTTGATTAAAATCTTGAGATATCCGTTTTTAACTTCTAGCATTTTGAACAGTTCTATTTTAACTAGGTTACGCACATTCAAATGTTATTAAAATGAGGAACACAATCATGACTTGGACAAAACAAAACGAAAACAAAGTAAGTCTTCGGTAAAAAAAAGAAGGATAGCTACAAAAACATTTCGTGGTTAAGTACTATATGCCGGTTACGGGCTAACGGTTTTATGACAGATGTATTCGTAGAGGATTTGCCAACAGAAATGGAACTTTATTTACGTTGCAAGCAGCGAAAGGAAATAGAGTCGAATTTATATTGAGTACCTAAAGGAAATTGAATAGCGTTGCATATATCTCTAAAGGAAATGGAATATACGTATGTTATATATGGCATGAAAAGCATATTGCCCAACTTCCCGTCAAACAAGTACACACTTCGACTCAGAGTCGAGTATACGACAAAGCTATTAGTTAATTTTGAAACGTCTTGCCAACTGGACCACTTATTGCATATACTTTTAAGAAATCTTAAGAAGGGGGAAGTTGCACATATTCAGAAATGCGTAATTATGAGAATATTATATTATTTATTCGATATCCTTAAATTTTTAAAGCAAAAAAAAATCTAATATGGGTAGGTTAAACTTTATGTTGAAATATAAAACTCAAAGTAACGCTTTGTAAATAAGCTGATTTTTAATCAGAATTCTTTCAGCTCTGTTAGGACCACAAAAAATGCGATACGTAAAGTGAACACACATGCTGTTCTACATGGTTGGAACATTTCAATTTTGCGTTAGATTCATTATTAGGAATTCTATCAATAATTTTCTCGGATAAATTATCAATATGAATTTCTTAAATAAACTAGAATCAGCTTTAATTAGTAAAGGAAAATAATTTACAGTCCCTCGTCACAGAGTTATTTGCGTTTTTCTTGTAATAGAGGTCTGAGTTTTGTAACATTTTGCGGTTTTTAGAATATTATACATTAGAATGTCAAAAAATTTCCGATGGGAATGTAGTGCGAACATATGCAATAAATATAAAAAATACTTAAAGATATTCGCAAATGCTATTTATTAATTACATGCTTAATCTGTAAATATTAAATTTTACAAATATTGTCTTGAAAATATTAACTTTCTGAAATGAACTGTTTTATTCAATAATTGATAACTGATTTAATTTCTGGTATATATATATATATATATTGAATCCAAGTTATTTGTACAGAGGATATAATTTGATGAAGACATATGCAATTAATAAAACAGGGTAGTCAAACATTTTATATTTTCTACCCACTTTGCAAGTAGTAAAATTTCTTTACCGTCCGCCGGTTTCGCAGTAACTTAGTTTTGCGTAAATGCAAAATAATGTTTTGAGTGGTGGGTTAGTAAAGATGTATGCAGCTAAATTTATCTATTTATTTATACTTGGCATACATTTATAAAAGGTCAAAAAAATTATGTTCCGTGTAGCTAGCTGGGACATCGGTTCCAACGAAACTGTTTCGGCCAGGAAAACTTCAGTGGTAGGAAAGGGAGAAGTTCATTTCTCGAAAAACTTTCTCCTAGCTTCACGCTTTATTAAGATGTGATAATCCCATTATTCGCCCTACAATCACAGAACAATACCTAAGAGAAATGATAAAGCTTTATAAATATACAGAAACAGGATAAACCTGCACAGAAGAACGGACTTTTATCATCGGATGGACAAAATACTCTACCGCCCACCTTAAGTCGCCCACTAATGGGCGATAGGGAGCAGGTTGACTCTCCCTGAAATTAAATTATATTAAAATATCTGGATAATAATGGTAAATCATTCTCACAAATCTTACGAAGTTTTGAATTATGTTACCTGCAGTAATTTATACGCCTGCAGGATAACAGATATAACTATGTATCAGCTGAGTTAAAAATATTTGATACTCAACTGATATATAGTAGTGTAGCATTTGAATGTGAAAATAGTTAGATTTTGAAATGTATTTCACAAAGTATGATAGAAACGTTAATATTTCCAAAGAATCTATTGAACTTACGAACCGTAACTTTATATATTTCAAGTTTATAAACAGAATATAGCTAGAAAATTCTTAAATTTGACTGAGAACGTAACTGAAGCTTATTTCTCGGTATATCTTCATGCGTTTCGAGTAGGCAATTATATGGAAATATGTATATGTATTTTACTAGAAGTATTGTGTTCGGAAATATTTTTGTGGTTCCTTTTTTTTCCTAATAAAAATGTGGGAAAACGTCATGTTATAGCACTGGAAAAGGAGGGTCTTATCGCCCAAATGAAAAATGAATTTAAAAAATGAGTATTTTTCTTTACCATTTTCATTCCTCATGAATGCGTTTTCAGTAAATATTTCATCTAAAATTTAAGTAGAACAGGAATAATTTAAACATCCCCTTCCTTATTCGCATCATTTCCCAGCATTCTGCTCCTTTACAAGATGAGGCACTTACCAGCTCTCACGTGTACATCTCTACTTCCAAGAGTTCCCACTGAATTAGACACTTCACAGCGGTAAACAGTTGCGTGCACGTCGGCTCTATATTCTTCCGCCGGGAAAGGTGGGAATACTAATGCCCCATCATGCCTTACGTGCCTTAGACTTGGCAAATCAGGTGCAGCTTGGCCATCGTGTTTAACCCAACGAATCACTGGCGAAGGTCTGCCATCTGCGTTACAAGGAATAGTTGCTCCTGTTGAATTTGAAAACACTGCAGGACTAGGCGGTTCAAACGTGAAGACGGGTGGCCTATGGTGGGGCATATCACAGACAACTGAAAATAAATAAAAGAAATTAATTTATAAAAAAAGACTAAGAAAACATATAAATGCTCATAAATAAACAATTTCAAACATAGGGGAAATTATAATACATGATAATAGTGTGACCTATCAAGTAATGAAAATCATGCTTGCTTTCCCTCCCTTAAATTGTATTTATGAAATGTATATATTAATGTATATACATAATAAGAGTGATTCTCAACAAAAGGGAATTCTAAATTTCAAGGGGGGCTAGCCTTTCCCGTACCTATTAAGTATTCAGTTTTAGTTTATAAATGTTTTTTTTAAACTTTTTATCAAGCTTTGATATTTATAAATTTTTATAATTTTTTCTTCCATTAAGAAATTAAATATATGTAACAATATTTTATGAATTAACTATAAAACATATTACGAAAATAATCTAAATTTAAATTAATGTATTTTTCAAGCTTTGGAAAGGAGGGCGGAATGATAAGCTAGCAATTGTGAAAGAGGGGCATAAGGCAAAACGAAACTGAGAGCCACAATGCTATAAGAATTACTACCGTAAGAGTACAGAAGTAAAGTCAAACACTTAAATTATAACACATTGCATTATAAATTCCAGCTTGATGTTCAACAAATTCAGTTTAAAATGCACAAGATTAGATTTCACGGAATGGTTTGCCTCTTCCTTTAGGAAAACAATGATCAAACAGTTATTTTTTAACGTTAGATTTCACATTATTCTGTTTTTACTACCGTTAGTTGTCTAATTTTTATAATTCATTGCCTTTATTTTCACCTTGATTAATTGCTGACGTCTCTGCGATGTCGGAATTAAACTTAGGTTAGCGGATATGGATGTCATGCCTATATCTTCCCATACAGCAGCATACTTACCGGTACTTCAAACGGGGCTAATAAAAACAAAACATAAAAACAAAATAGATGCAGACTATTAAATGCGATTACAGATAACTAGGTATGGATGTGCTAGGTATGGATAGTTTGAGTAAAAATGTGCAAGGACACCTCAGTCACTAGATATGATGCAAGGGCAGGTGACACATGGAGCACCAAGTTAAAGCTATTAATGAGTATATTACATTAATTTTATGTTAAAATGTTTTGATAAAAAGTATACTCGTCTACTATAGTCTTTACATGAAGTACCTGTAACATACTGATTTATTTTAAATATTATTTTTTGCTATATATTTTAACGTATGGGATGGTGTTCCTCAAGAAAACCTCTTAACTCTAAGGGCTCTATGAGTCTACGAAGCTTGAAGACCACTGCTATAGAATAATGAGGCCTTTGGCTTGTAATATGGATACTTGAGAGAAGCAGATTAACAAAATTATTTATACATTTGCTTTTCCTAGAATCTCAATTTCACAATACTTATAGAAGTTCTTAATCATTTTTTAAGCTTCTATTTTGTTTTACATCTGTTAGGAACACATTTATCCTCAAGTTCGACTTCAAATACATTAAATGACGTTGATTAAGTAACCGAGATTTTAACTGAATAGTAGACATTATTTTCATAATAGCAGTTTTATTTTATGATTTGTCTCTTACGTCAATATAGTAACTCTTATCTACAACTTTTACAAGCAGAAGTTTCTTCTAACACTGAGCTGAAGGGTTACGCTTTCAACTCTAACGTGTGTAAAATTCATTTTAAAATGTATAATTGCAATTATTCCACGTCATGAAAATGCAATGTACTTTTTATAGTGCACATGTACCTCAGAACGCATCAATAAAGTAGAGGTACTATTGTATTTAATATGTAATATACAGCAGTGAGTGTTTGGTAATACAATCTTGAGCGATATTTGGGAAAATTTTTCAAAACGTAATTCAGTGTTTCTTAGGCCGTAAAATTTATAGCTACGAGTGCAATCCCATTTTACCGTTGGTACACTATAAAATTTAATCCGGTAATATTTGATATAGCCATGTGCATATCTGGATGGGAGAAATTCCATTATGTATTGTAAACTATTAACAAGAAATGATTCAACTATCATTTTGATATCATGCAAATTGCGTATGTGCTAATTTTCTGAACTCTTAGATAATTCTATTAAATCATTCTGCACAAACCAATTTCATTAATATATATTATTTTATGTTAATTAATCAGTTATGAGTTGAGCATTTATTTTAATTTTTTCTGTATGTAGTCCTCACCAGAATACAATGTGTAGTTAAGCCAATGGTTTAAAATTTTAGACTTAGAGATTCCGGTAGCCATATATTGCAATTATTACCACTTTTAGTTGTGTCAGGTTTATTACAGCTTTAGCATCTTGTTAGTCGAAGTTTAAAATAAGCACCGTTAATTACCTTCACCCAGGTTAAGTAACTAGTGTTTGGGACACTAACTGGCTCCGCCATTACGATAAGGCACTACCGGGCTTGAAATCATTCCGATCGTTGCGCTAGTAATCAAGGCAGTTAGGCCGCCTGTTACTGCTTGTGTGGACATACTGTCCTTTATTATATACATATACATAAAACAAAACACATTTACGTTACAACATCTAGAATAGAGTTTAGAATAAAAAGACTGTCAACTGTATCTGTTGTTGACTTTGAAGATTACGTTAGAATAGGATGAATATATACATAGGTCTTGAAGGTCACAGGTTGCTGCTGCGTGTCTGGAGCAGGGTTGAAGAAGCTGACTCTTTGTTAGTCCTCGATGATGATGTCGGATCTTAAATTGACCTCTGTGATGATCTTGGTAATGCCTTTGACCAGGTAGAAGTCGTTTACTAGAGAGGACAGTGGGATGTTCCTGATGTGGTTTGGAAAGTGTCTTGTTCGAAGGTCGTCTAAGCAAGCTGGCAGTCGAAGATGTAATGAAAAACGTCCGCTTGATGTCCTGGGGTGCCGCAGGTGCATCTTGCTTGGCCGATTCAAAAACCTTTGATAGTAGGCTGGGAATTTCCATGGTTGGTCAGTGCTGAGAAAGGGAGTGATTTGATCTTAGCCTCTTATAGCTGATTTTGTCGAAGATTTGGAAGGTGTGTCGTCCTTTATCATCTTCTTCCCAGCGTTCTTGCCAGACAGTGAGAAGGTAGTTGTCTATCAGCCTTTTTGCAGTGATGATGGAAATCGGGATGCAGGAGTCGACTTCGGATCTATTTGCTGCGTCTTTTGCGAGAGTGTCGGCGGTCTCATTGCCTCTAAGTCCTGTATGGCCGTGAACCCAATTAATCTTGACCTCGTGCTCGGAACTTAGTGTGTGCAGAACTTCCTTTAGGGAGGCTATGTGCTCCGCTACTTTACCTCTTTTGTTTAAAGCCTGGAGAGCGCTCATGCTATCCGTAAAGAATTTAGGATGGTGACTCGAGAGCTAGCTTCCTGCTCATAGTGCTGCTTGTCTTAATGCGTAGGACTCACCTGGGTCTATCTTGAGTTGTAGTCTGAGACTACGTGACCCACATTTGAATTTAATTTTATAGCATGCTAATTTAAATACGCTCACTTAGCGGAGCTTCGTCTGTAGCACAGGTATCGCATTTCTATCCATTTAAGATTTAAATAATAAGGGATAATTCAACCTGCTTAAGTAGTCATTTTTTTTTTTTTTTTTTTTTTTTTTTTTTCAGAATAAAGCGATAACTCGTCTCCAGTCTAAGATTTTCAGGGCAATGACACGAACTTCTAAATTTAGCGGAAACTTACAAGTAAATGAATATAATTTAGAAAATTTAATGTATCCCTATTTTAAAATTATATTTGAATACATTCCTAGGAATTATACAACCCTTTACAACTGAGAAATATATCACATGCACTGTGTTTTAAAACCATTTTGCGGAATATCACTCAAAACTAACTTTACAAAGGAAGCCCTGCCATATATTGCAGATAAAAAAAATATTGCAGCGACTTTATTGGCGAATGCTAAATTATTTTTGTTGATATGAATACTTTTATTTCTCCATAAAATGTTATGTGCAATTTCTCGAGCAAATGTGTTTTGAATAAATGCAAGTTTTAGGAGATTTAAATCGAAAGTTCTTAAAACTGGTTTGTTGCAAGATATATGAAGAAAGATATATTTTTCAATTCGGTAAAACAATTTCGCTAAAATAAATAGTCTTAGGAATACTGCGGAGACAATCTCACAAAACATCTGATAACTGCATCACTGAAGTTAAAAAGAGCTTTAAAATTGAAACATAGTTTTCAAAATATTATATCACTTATTTATAGCTGAAAAACTATTTGTTTCAAATCCTGCCGCTCTTAAGAAAGTGAAAAACTACCTTCTTAAAATATTTATCCTGTGAAAGAACCGACACTTTACCTACGTTAAGCAAAAGCCCAAAATGAATAAAAATTATTTATACATTAACGTAATATGCTGAATTTTATTTTAACTATTTTACTAAAGTTTTCCAGTTTATCTGTGGAACTGAAGAATAGAAATATGAAATCTAACATGGAAAAAATAGTTTTTAACATAATTTCCGAATCATATATCACTGAAAATATATTTACTCAAAAATATAAATATCCTGAATATAGAACAGTGAGTATATTTCTGTCACCCCTAGCAAAGAATAAGATATTTTTCTTTCACCATTTTAAAAGTCTAAAAATAGTTTAAAAGTTGTCTTCGGAGAAAAGGAGTTTATGTTTCTTTTGTTCTAATCCTTCTTTCCTGGAATGTTTAATCCTGTCTTTAAGCTGTTGTTATGGAGTATTATCCGTATTACAATTTTTCTTATGTTTGAGTACTAGTTGAAAAATTTTACTCAGTTAAAAAATAAATTTAGGCTTGTCGGATTATTTAGATTCGATAATCATGAGTTAATTTTATTGAATAATTTATACAAATGTCTATGAAAAACAACTTATTAGAGCATCATTTTTAGTTTCATTTTTTCAATAATTGTTTCAATTAAATAAACATTATGCCTTTTCGCTGCATAATTTCATTTAATTTCAACAATAATCAATATTAAACGTATGGTTTGCTTTTAATTATGATTAATT